CGAACCTCAGAAAGCAGGAAGATGTAAAAGACTAAGACATGCTTTAGTTATTGCAAATCTCAGAATCACTGGTGTGTACAGTTGACGGTAGAAATGGCAAGAGGCTGAAAGTATGAGTAAGCCCAGATCATAGAGGGCACTGTATGACATAAAGAAAATTTAGACTTTCTTCTATAAGACAGTTTTGTCTAAACTGATGCAGACAAACTCACCTCAACCACATTAGCTCTGTTTCATCTATTCAAGTTACTTATATTTCCATAGAAGACTTTTAAGTTGGAAAAATCAATAAAAATAGGCAGCAGAGAGACACTGATAGATTTCATACAGGAGAATGATGTGACTGGCTACAACATGCTAAATGGCATTGAAGGGTTGGATATCATTAATCAAGAGGTTTTAAGCTTAGCTAGCAGAGAAAGGGACTAAACTAAGGAAGTGACAGTGAGATGAAAAGAAGTGGATATGGCAGAAAGATTAAATTTAAGGGAGATCAGTGAAATTTTGTTTTCAAACTACACAGCACAGTGCCTGGGATAACTCAATAAATGTTAACTATCATCTATAGAACCTGGTGGTTGAACAAATGTGGAAAGTAGAGACTCAGCAATAAAGGAGAATAAAATCATGGCATTTGCAGGTAAATGGATGGAGTTAGAGAAGATAATGCTATATGAAGGTAGTCAACCCCAAATAACCAAATGCTGAATGTTTTCTTTGATATAAGGAGGCTGACTCATAGTGGGATAGGGAGAGGGAGCATGGGAGGAATAGACGAACTCTAGATAGGACAGAGGGGTTGGAGGGGAAAGGAGGGGACATGGGGTTAGAAATGATGGTGGAACGTGATGATCATTACTATCCAAAGTATAGGTAGGAAGAAATGAGTTGGTGTGAATATACTTTGTATACAATCAGAGATATGAAAATTTGTGCTCTAAATGTGAAATAAGAATTGTAATGCATTCCACTGTCATATATAATTAAAAAAAGAAGAAGAGAAAAATCAACAGAAGTTTCCAAGTGTCTAATAGATAATGTTGCCATTCAAAAAGAATAGGAACATAATGCTCTTTGGGGGGATATTGTGCATTTTGAGACAAGGACAAGGAAGATGAATACAGCATTAACCATGCTAAGTTTAAGGTACTACTGTGGAATAGCTAGACGAAGATGTTAAACAGCAGGATATATGGACCTGGAGCTGAGGACAAACTCAGATTAGGAGACATGAATAACAGAGAGAGCAACCATTACCCTCAAATAGTGGTGCCTATTTGGCCACTCAATCTAAACTTTGTTCTAGGAGAATCATAGACCCTTATTTCCTACTAGTTATGAAAAGCAACTCAAATGGCTTAATGAGTTACATGTAATATTTAAAACTATAAAACTACCAGAAGAAAATATAGGGGAAATCCTTTAAGACATTGGAACATGCAATAATTTTCTGGGTAAGACCCAAAAAGTACAGGAAATAAAAGCAAGCATAGACAAAATGGATTACATCAAATGAAGTTTCTGTACCGCAAAGAGAACAGTCAATACAGAACAAAGCAACTCTACAGAATGGGAGAAAATAATTTCAAAAAATACACATGAAAAGGGTTAATATCCAGAATGTATATGGAACTCCAAAAGATTACCAGCAAAAAATTAATAAAAATAAACTGATTAAAAATGGGCAATTGACCTAAATAGACATTTCTCAAAGGATGACACAAATGGCTACAAGGTATATGAAAAAAAAATGTTTAATATCACTAATGCTCAGGAAAAATAAAAATTGATACCATATGAGGTTATTACTTCACTCCAGTAAGAATGGCTATTTTCAAAAAGATTAAAGATAAATGAATGCTGACAAGGGGATGTAAAAAAAGGGAATCCATGCACACTGGTAGTGAGAATGTAAACTGGTAAAGCAATAATGGAAAACAGTATGGAGAATCCTCTAAATTTTGAAAATAGAACTACCATGCAATCTAGCAATCAGGATGTCATAGGGATATCTGCACTTCCATGTTCAGTGCAGCCAAGAAATGAAAACAACCTAAGTGTGGTCAACTAATGAATGGATGAAGAAACTGTGATATACAGCAACAATTAAGAATTTTTTGGCAAAAAAGGATAATGAAATCCTCTCATTTGCAACAATATGGATGGAACTGAAGATCAATTATGTTAAGTGAAATAAACCAGGCACAGAAAGAAAACTACTGCATGATATCCTTCATGTGAAATTTAAAAAAAAATTGAAGTTGAGAATAAAATGTTATCTCTAAGGCCACAGACAGTAGAAGGAGGGAAGAGAAGTTGATCACAGGATACTTTGTCAAATAGCAGCTAAGAAATTCTGATGTGGTAAAAGAGTAACAAAGTATGATATAATTCAAAAAGCTAGAAGAAAGGATTTTGTGTTCTCAACATAACAAAAGAGATGTGTTTAACCTGATTAAAATATTAATCAATGTACACATGTATCAAAACATCAGATGGAAGACTAGATGTAGAGTTCAGTGAAAGATCACTTTCCTTGCATGGATGAGGCCCTGGGTTCCATCCCCTTCACCCCAACTCTCGCGATCACATGGTATCTCACAAATGTGTATAATTTTTATGTTTTCCATATCAGTTAAAAAATAAATTTAAATAAATTTTTAAATGTCAAATAAAAGATCTGGGAGAATCTAGTATTTACATGTATCTAAACTCTTAAAAATCAACAAGCTTGAAGATTTACAAGATAAGAAAAAAAAGGTTCTGACACTTTGAAATTTTATCTTTATCGTTATTAAGTTCTAAGATCTTAAGCCAACCACAGTATGGAGCTTTTTAAATTGAGTCATTGTTTCTTACAGTGAGATCTAGCTTCTTATACTATTAATAAAACTCTATTTTTTATAGTATCAGTAAACCCTATGTGTTTTCTAAAATATTCTTCATCCAGAGAAGACTCCAGGTTTGTGAAAAAAGAAAAGAAATTTAAATCTAAAGTTAAACATATACTAGCTTGGCAAAATTCAACAAAATTACTTAACTTATTCTTGCCTCACATTCCCCACTTGTTTAATTTGGTTGATACCATCTACCTTCCCTTGGCTTTGATGGGAATTAAATTACATATGTAAAGAAACTAATATGGTAACAAGCATATGAGCTCATCAATTAATAACTTTTACTAACTCTCCTATCTTCAAGAAATTAACAGGAACCATTTTAATTTCAAATTAACTAAGGCTATCATAAATAAATCTGTCTGTATGTGTATGTGTGCATTAAACAATTCATACTGGCCCTACACCTGAGCTTTTAAGGTCGAAGATATTTTGGCATGTAAATCCATAATAATTTTAAAAAGACTCAATTGAGATATTAACACAAGCAGTTGTGCATATAATTATGAGAAGAGAATTCTAAAGGCAGGTTTTATATGAAAACTGAATAAAAAGAAGTAGTAGTAATAGTAGTAGTAGTAGTAGTAGTAGTAGTAGTAGTAGAATTGAAGAAAAGTAAACCCAATTTAGAAATCCTGGATTAACCATTGGATAATAACCAAGATGTTAATATGCTTTCAAAATAAATTTAGAAAGGGTTAAATGTAAATTAACTAATGCTAATTTTAGATTTCTACATAGTTAACAATGAGATAATATATGGGAAGTCAGTATACAAATCTATTGATATTTTGTTTTCGGGAATTCTGGAACATATTGCAATTAATATCTAACAGAAAATGTAAAATTAAATTTCTTGCTATTCTATTCCTATTCAATGAATAATTGAAGTGTCAAGATATAATAGTCAAAACATTATATAGACAAATGGAAGATTAGGGGTTTGCTTTAGGGGAATGTTTGAATACAGAAATTTTTAAAATGCTTTCTCTTAAACCTGAGTTTTTCATTAACATCCTTTTTATCATCACATTTAAAGTAAAACATAATTCCAGACTTTTTTTTAAATTTTTCACTTTTTTTTTATTAACTGAGGACTGAAGCCAGGGGCATTGAACCACTGAATTATATCACCAGCCTCTTTAAATTTTGAGACAGGGTCTTGCTAAGTTGCTTACGGCCTTGCTACATTGCTGAGACTGGCCTCAAACTTGCAATCATCCTGCCTTAGCTTTCTGAAATACTGGGACTTCAGAATTATGTGCCATGGCACTCAGCTTAGACATTTTTTCCTAGTTAAAATTTCTCTAAGTTTAAATTTTGGTGAACAAAACCACATACTCAAATCTCTTGGCCAAATTTTACAAGCAAATATGAAGCTTCAAACACAATACACAGCCAAGTGTGGTGTTGCATGCCTGCCCACAATCCCAGCAGATTAGGAAGCTGAGGCAGGAGGATTGTATGTTCAAAGCCAGCCTCAGCAATTTAGTGAGGCCCTAAGCAACTTAGCAAGACCCTGTTGCAAAATTAAAGACCCTGTCTCAAAATTAAAAAGAGAAAAAGGGCTAGGAATGTATTTCAGTGGTTAAACACTCTGGGTTCAATCCCTGGTACCAGGAAAAAACAAAACAAAACAAAAAAGAACACATATATGGGTTGTGTACACCCATGCGCTCATATATATATATATATAACAGATGTGAGATTTATAAGCCTCTTGGAGAATTATTTATTATTTACAAAAAAAAAATCACTGTAAAGAAAATAAAATGATGCATTTGGCTTCCTCTCAAAAAAAATGGATACCTATTTTAAAGCTTATAATTATACTAAAATTCACATTAGATTTATATTAAAAGTTACAGACAATATATTCTTAATATATATTAATATATTATAATTACTATATAATAAGTGCTATATATTTCACATGTTATTGGTAAAAATTTACTAACTCTGACTCATTTTCTATCTTAAGTTTTGATAATATATAAATATACACATACACACATCTAGAGGCATACAGGTGTGTGTTACTGAATTTCAATTTTGTATAGAGAATTTTAGGAAGTATTAAATGCTACCATTGATAAAACTTACGAATCAACATGCAGAACCCTCTGGCCACTCCTTGAACATGCAGCCGCAATGATGGATTCAGGCAAACCTATAAAAACACACACCTATATCATTTAGAATGTAGAAATATATATTTATTTTACATAAAATGTTCAATTCATGCTATCACAGTATAGAATAGCTTACCAAGAGACCCAACCTTGTATTTGACATTGTAAAATCTGTATTAATTTCACTTTTAGATATTTCCCTTTTTTAATTTTTTATTTGTTGGTTGACCTTAATTTATTTACTTATATGTGGTGCTAAGAATTGAACCCAGTGCCTTACACATGCTAGGCTAGCATGCTACAAACTAAGCCATGACCTCAGCCCTAGACATTTCTTAAACATACTAACACTGAAATTTTTATTACGTGGTAGAAATAGTCTATAAAAACAAGAACTTAAATTATTTTTACCTGAAAATTATCATAATGAGCAACTAAAGGCATAATGTTCATATAGAGTTTTATTATTAGGAACCATGTTAACACACTAGTTAATCTGATACAACTGCACTGAGAGATAAGAATCTGATACAGTCTAGAAAGGAAAAAGAACCTGGGGTTCAAATATGTTAACTTTGTTGCTCACTGCTTAAAAATAAGATTATAGAGTTGAAATCTGAACTCAAATCTAAATCCAAAGCCACAATGCTTCTAATACAGAATAGCTCACATTTTTTAGTTACAGAAATACGTTAGTTTTTTGGCCAGGTGCAGTGGCGGATGCCTGTAATCCCAGCGGCTCAGGAGGAGGAAGCAGGAGGATGGTGAGTTCAAAGCCAGCTTCAGCAATTTAGTGCGGTGCTAAACAACTCTGTAAGACCCTATCTCTAATAACATACAAAACAGGGCTAGGGATGTGGCTCAGTGGTCAAAATTAAAAAGAGAAAAATGGCTTTGTTTTCTGGAATTCTGGGACATACTGCAATTAATATCTAACAGAAAATGTAAAATTAAATTTAAAGTTCAATCCCTTAGTACCACCCCCCCAAAAAAATTAAAGAAATATGAGGCCACTTAAAATATGTATTATTTTCCTTTTCGTTCAGAACAGCAGTATGAAAAGAAAACATTACTGTTCTGGAGTCAAATGTAGTCATGCCATAAAGCTGATTATCATATAATGAAATATATATTATGACTATCAGTATGAACAAAAATTAAACTACCAAAGATAATGCTTTGCTAATAAAAATAAATTCAGGTTTTGTGCTACATTAGATAGTTAAATATTCTATGCTGTAAGACGCTTCCATAACCTTTTATCACAAGATCTGCCATTTAAATGGAGGCTATTAAAATCTTTTATATCAATCATACAAATAAAACATGTTTTTAAAGTTTAATGCAACTCTATAGAGCTACCACTACCGTGAGACATCTTGACTCTCCTGTATTCTTACTTTATGGTAGAAAAGATACCACCATTTTTTGGCAAGAGTATGAACTACATACTGAGTGTCAAGGATTTTAGGAAAAGGGATTATCTTCTTTATGTAAAAAGTAATAGGTACATGGAAGGAATTGTCACAATCTGTACTTAAAACCACATTAAACACAAGGTCAATCTACCTTTAGGAACTAGTTTTTCAGGGTTGAATACTTTGAGGGCATATAATATTTGGCTCAAAAAAAGAAGTTCTGACCAAATGTACTGAATATAACCATTAATCATCAGTTATCAGAAAGAAGCCATCATAAAGTTCCAACATTAACTTTGGATATAATTTTTTTTTACAAAACAAGAATTTTGAGTAGAAAGAAATTTTTCATGTTAAGACTATCTGAAATTTTTGTTCTGCTTAAAGAAATAATTTTCTTTTAATTAAATGTAATCACTATGAACCTTTAAAAGCCAATACACAGCATAGTTCAAAGGGTAACAGCAAAAAATTACTTAGGAAAAAGAATTAGCAAGTTAAAGATCAATGCTTTTACAAGTAATAATAGTATAACCAAACCCACTTATATTATAGGGTTTTACACTTCACACAATATTTTAGTGTACATCATCTCATGTATTTCTCATTATAATCATGAGGGGCAGGAAGTAATAGCCATGTGAGGAAATGAGTTTGAGCATGTTGCCAAATACCAACTTATACAATATTGCCAATTCAAAAACCATGGGAATTCACTATCTCAGACTTGGACAGAAGTTTGAGACTAAGTACTTAAGGGCAGTACTGGCAACACAATAAAATGGGCATGGTCTCAATCTGACAGACCTTGCTTTGAATCTTAAGATTACTATGCAACCTCAGACAAGTCATTGACTTGTCTTTGTTTCTTCATCAATATAAGTATAGTACCTTATAGTACTGTTCAGTTGTTAGCAAAGGTAGTTACCAAATGAATGCCATCTACATTGTTTTTGGTACCTGGGATTGAACTCAGGGGCACTGAACCACTGAGCCAAATCCCCAGCACTTTTGTGTATTTTACTTAGAGCAGGGGCTCATTGAGTTGCTTGGTACCTCTCTTGCTGAGGCGAGCTTTGAACTCAAAATCTTCCTGCCTCTGTCTCCTGAACAGCTGGAATTACAAGCATGTGCCACTGCACCTGGCCTATCTACTCTTATCCTTCAGAAAATATTTTAGATTCTAGCTCTAGTGGCAGACAATAATATTACTCTTCTCCATTTGGCTCAACTTTGGGTAGGCGGATATGTGTGTGGTTATATTCATGCCTATAATCAACACTGTCAGAAGTCAAGTCTCTACTGATGAAGCAATGCCAAAATGGATTTCAATTCTGAATATGATTTGAGTTCAGATTATATAAAACCAAAATGACTATCATTTGTGTTTTTCCTTAATTCTTTCATCTAGACATCCCCACAAGCTTGTCAAATCAATAGGCTGTTCCAATGTTAAATGGCATATTATCTCCATTCTTAAAATAATTAAAATTACAGTGAAGAATACAGATACCAATGTCTTTCTAGGCAAATTCTTATATTTCTTCCAACCTATTCAAAAAAAAAAAAAAGAAGTTACTTGAACACAGGAAGAAGGCATGCAGGAGATTATCTTCAACTACTTGCTTAAGAAAAGGAGAAAAAGAAAATGGGGGGAAAAGAGAAGGCAGGAAGTCTAGAGCAGACTCCCAGGTGGTGGGGGAAAAATCATTAAGATAATTCCTAACCTGAAAAAGCTCTGAGTCTAAAGAAATAATTTAAAGAGATTGAAATAATGAGTCTATTTCGGACTGTTACAGGAACACAATGGAAAGAAACATTCCCACTATAAAAGGGAGAGATGGAAAGTGCCAAAGAAGAGACACTAGCTGGATCTTTCAGCGTCTAACCACCTAAATTGAAGGGTATAAAAGTAAAAAGGAAAGTACAAAGGAGAATTCTTGGCAAAGAGTAAAGGAAGAAAGAACCAAAAGGTAATGCTTTAAAAAAAAATGTGGTTGGGCAGGCTTATTTCACTTAGCATAATGTTTTCAAGGGTCTCTATGTTGCAGCTTCAGTGTTTTTAATTAATGAGTATTATTTCAGTATATGGCTATATCACATTCACTTTATCAATTCTTCCACTGTTGAAAATTTATATCATTCTCACTTCTTAGTTATTGTGAACATTACTGCAGAAAACAGACTGATTGAAAGAAGACAAATAATGCATGGTTCTACCTACCTGGAATATCCAAAATGGCAAATTTATACAATCAAAGAATAGAATGGTGGTTGCCAGAGGTTTGGGGAGAGGGAAATGGGGAGTTGTTAATGAATGGGTATAAAAAGTAACAATTACCCAAGAGGTATAGGTTCAAAAGATCTGTTGTACAACATTGTACTTATAGTTAACAGTGTACTATACACTTAAAATTTCAGAGGGTAGATCTCATGTTAAATGTTCTTACTACACTAAAACAGTTTTTTAAGGTGGCTGAAGCCAAATAGTAGAGTTATGTACTTGATCCTCTAAGCCATGGCAATCTTGAAAAGGATTTTAACCAGAATAGAATGGTCAATCAATGTATCAGGGAAAAAGAAACTCTACTCACAGTATGGAGAATAAACCTGCATATAACTGGAGCTTTAAATTTAAAAATAAATTCTTATTTAGGAAAACAGAACACAATTAAACCTTTTGTCTTGTTAGTAATTTGGTGAAATAAGCAAAATGACTGCATGATCTGTTTAAATTAATATCTGTAAACTTCAATTTAGTAGCATTTAAACCCAATTAATTTAAAAATAAAATCATTTTTAATGCTTAAAAAGTAAACAGTGTCTGAATAACTACTCAAATTCACACAAAGTCCTAATGAGGCATTTATATAGAATACATAGGCTTATAATGAATTATACAATCTCTCCCATAAAGAAAAGTCAAACATGAGTTATAAACAACTCAGATCAGAGTGAAATCACAGCATTTCACTGGAAACACTCCATAAAACAAATATACAAATGCAATGTTTTCATCTGTAAAATGGGAGAAAAAGGTCCAATATGATATGAAACACCTTATACAGTGCCTCTTGGCATGTTGCTAAAATTTGGTAAATGTTGAGTCTCTTCCCTCTTCCTCCTACTCCTTCAGAAAGATTAGTTATTTGAGGAAGAAAAAAAATAAAGGTTATCACTTGCTTATCATTTATTTATCTTCAAAACTTTAACTTAAAATTATTCTTTTAAAAGTTCCTTTTATATATGTACACAGTTGAAAATCAAACATTTGTTATCATTTAAACATTTAATATTATTAAATTCATTAGCAAAACTGTACTAAAGAACTTGGTCTTGCAATAGGATCACAGAAAACTTGCATAATTCTGATAAAATAACGTGGATAAATCATTTTATTAAACATAGGTAAACATAAGATATGAAATTAGCATTTCATAAAAACTGTAATGAAGGAAATTGAGATTAGCTTCATCACATCCTTCTCAGTAAAGGTTCTGTTTTAAAGTTGGCAGCTAGCAAAAAAATACATATTTGATATATGGAATGTTGCATGACCATATACCATCATGTCTGGTCTTAATTTTCTGCCATTTTCTAAAACCTATCTAGATAAAATA